TAGAGGTTTCTTCTGATCTTTTATTTGGGACATGTTTCTTTGTTTCTTCATTCTGGCTGTCGCTCTGTGACTGCTTCGATGTATTAGGCAGATCACTTATGTCTCTCAGTTGTTACTGGGTGATCTTATAGTATATGTCCTTTATATTCGGATTACACAGATTCCCTATTCTCCTGTCCTGTGTGTTCCAGAGGTGTTGCTGTTGACGTTGCTCTTTAATTGGTTTTGGCTTGTCAGATGGTGGGATTAACCCTCAGACTGATTAAGTGGGAGAATTAGCTTTACTCACAGTGTATGAGATGCTGTGTGGAGGTTGATCCTCTCAGAGGAGGCTTGGTCACTGTGGGTTCTTGTGCCTGTGGAAAATGTCCTTTGAGAATGCCACTTGTAGATTCAACCAGGTAGTACTCTGTTTTTGTCCAACACTGGCCTCTGGGTGTATTGGTTCTGGTGTCTCTTGGGTGGGGCTCCCACTCAGAGCCATTTCAGACCTGCCTGTTCCTGGTCTGTAGCTACCCAGTAGGTGCCTCAAGGCTGTATGCAGTTGGCTGCTGCACGTGCTGGACCTGGGGTCATGTGGGGATGGTCTCTGTGTGAACTGAAGCTGGCTTTCCCCTATTTTGATCCTGAGGCAGCTTAGGAAAAGGCCCAGGGCCCCCTAGGCCTGTTGCCACCTGTCAGATGCCAGTAAAGCCTACCTATTGAAAAAGGCTTTTTAAGGGTATGTGTCTGGCTATTTGACCCGGTGTTGAGGGTGCCTCTGAGATGTGGCACTAGCTTGGCAGGATGGTGTTCAAGTGAATTATGCGACGTGATTGGTAGTTTTTAAGACGTTAATGCAGATCCAGCTCTTACACCAATTCCTGACCTGTGAGCCCCTTGTATAGCATCCCAAGGGCACTACAGCCAGCCTCCAGCTCAAGCTCACAGATTCACGAAAGCTGCTCCTGAGTGGCTGTGGTGCAGGTTTGTGGTCACTGAACACCACGAAGATGACTCCAGGGCTCTGCAAATCACCTTCTGTTGTAAAAAAACATTTTCCACATTTGGTGGGCGTAGGGCCAGTCAGCCCAGCACCCCGATTGCCCTGGCAATGCAGTCGTAAGTGAGAGAGGTTGTGTTACAGGGGCATAAAGGCTGTGGTCAGTAGTATCTACAAATTCAGTGTAGTCTCAGCTCTTGGACAAGTGCTGGGCCAAGCCACTTCACAAAACAAAAACAAAGCAAGGCAACCCAACAACACCAAACAACAAATACACTCTCACAGAAACTCGATAAATAATGATCAGACAGGTGAAACAAAAGTATATAAAAGAGACAAACACAAACACAAAAACAGGAGAACCAGACAGAAAAACAGTTACCAAAGCAATAGCCAGATAAATAAGTCTGAGAAACAATGACAAAAACAAAACAGATGAAAGAAGGAAAAGGAACAAAAAGATGAAAAAGAAAGAAAAAATATAATAATAAAGAAAAAAAGGGGGAAGCAAAAAGGAGGAAAGAAAATAACAGGCTCTGTGCCCACTTTAATCTGCAGACCACTTGCTCAGCAATAGAGTCTCTGGGCAACTCAGAACCAGCTATGTTGGGGGGAAGGGCTCAGTGTGTCATGCGCCAGCGTCCCTCTCAGGCTTGCAGTGAGCTTCCCGCAATTAGCTGCTGTGTGCTCTGGAACTGTGCTCACCGCCAAGAATCCTCACAGGTTGTTGTGGGCTGCCTGCTGCTGCAAAAAACCCTCTGTGGCCTGCAGAGGTAGGAGCCAGGGACCAGGGGCTCAGGGTGCCCCCGGCAACACAGCTCTAGGTGGGTGGGGCAGGCCCCCAAGGCACCACAGGTTGTGGTCAGTGGCCCCCACCAAGTCAGAGCAGCATGCACTCCTGCACAGCACACACAAACGTGCCAGGAATGCCCCGTCCGGATCACGCAGGCGAACAGCTCCTGGCCCAACATTCCCAGGAAAACTCCCAGCCTCAGCCTGTCCCAATCAGCCGCTAGCAGATCAGGCTGAGCAGCCCGCCACCCAATCGCCAGCCTGGCAAATCAGCACGTGCAGTGCAGAGACCCAAGGCGGCTCGCGCACTCCCGGGTCTCAATGAGCAGCCTGTTAGAGCTGGAGCACATCAGTCAGGCATTTCCCTGGCTATGCAGCACAAGCAGTGTGGAGGGTGAGGACCCAAGGCCACATGTGTGAGCACACACAAGCACACCTGTGCCAATTCCACCAGACCAACGCAGTCCCGGACTTGAGCCTCTGTGGGAGGGCCCAGCCCTGAAAAAATGGTGCCCTCCCGTACACTACTCATGTGCAAGCTCCACACCAGGGGAACAGTGGTCCCAAAACCCTCCAGCCCCCGTGCCAAAGGCACTCAGTTCAGTCCTTCCCGGAGGCTCTTGGGCCTCGCTCACAAAGCCCCTCCCTCCACCAGGAACCAGGTGAGTGCTCACCAGCGAGCGAGTCGGTTTCCCGGCTCCACTGGTTCTCCAGCTGCCCTCAGCCTCACCAAGTTGAGCAAAGAGAGTCCTCACTATTTTCTACTTCCATCTATCGTGGGACTCCTCTTCCCGGCAAAGTAACTCTGGGCTGGTGAGCGCGGTGTGGGGCTGGAGGGTCTCTCCCCCAACCGGAGAAGCCTCTCCACCACTGAGGTGTCCCTCACAGGGTTCTCTGTCCTCTGTCTGTAGGCCTGGAGTCAGCTTGCCTCACACCTCCGCCCCTCCTACCAGTCTCGACATGGCCTCCTGTTTATATCCTTCATTTAGAGGTTCTGTTCATCTAGTGTTCGGGGGACTTCCAAGGTATAAATTATTTGTAATTTCAGTGTGATCCCAGGAGGCAATTGGCACAGCATCCATCTATTCCACCATCTTACCGGAAGTCCCTCAGCTATTTATTTAGCTATGTGATCTTAGGCAAATTACTTAACTTCTCTGAGCCTCATGTTCTTCATCTGTAAAGTAAGGATATAAACATCTGCAAGCTTATTAATGAAGTCTCTCTCTCTCTGTCTGTCTGTCTCTCTCTCTCTCTCTCTCTCTCTCTCTCTCTCTCTACCTCTACACACACTCACACACACACACACACACACACACACACAAATACAGTACCAGGAATGATATCCAAAGCAGTTTGTAATTCCAATCCTTTCCTAAAAACAATTTATATTAACATACACAGTTGAATATTGATTAGTAACTTGCCCTATTTTTAAGACATTTTCAGAAAAACACTTATTTACAAAGGCTTAAAATATAGTTTATGATCAAGCCAAAATTTGTATCACAGGAGTAATTTAATTTCAAAAAATGTTTCTTTAAATAATCCGTGAAATGTTTACTAAAGCAGGAGCTCTCTAAATGCCCCTGCTGAGCCAAGAGTGGGTCTAGTTCTAAAACAGGGAACAAGTGGGCATATCTGGATGGAGTTTCCATAAAGAGGCATTGGAACCATCCAGTTCTGGACAGCCCTTGCAACAACTCTAACCTGTAAGAAAAGAATGTGGCTTGATGGGGAAGGAGATTTTTTAAAAAGGGAAGGAATGGAAAGATAAAAAGAAGGGCACCTAACATCTCTCTGCATTTGCTACATTTACTGATCTTTCACCAGGAAAAGAAATTATCTTACTTAATACACATCCAAATTGGGAAGGCTTTTCCCAGCGATACATTGCAGTTTGGGCTCTGGGAAGATTGCCTCTTCCCATCCTCTCCAGAAAGCTGCCTTGGGACTAATTGTGACAATTGCAAATTGACCCTTTTCTCACCCCCCAAGAAAATTCTCTGCTTTTAGCACGTCTGCCTCCCTTGACCTGCCCTCATCTTGAGAGGTTTAAGCCAGAAACATTGCTCCAAGGCAGAGTTCTTTGACTCCATGACTTGGCATTTGCGTGTGCCCCGCCCCCCTTTTTTAGCCAAGTGGCCTTAAGGCTTCATTCTCAAAATAGCTTGCCAAGAGCCCCTTGTTTATTGTACATTTCCTCCCAATTCCTTCCTTCTTGTAAACCTTCCTTCACTTTTAGTGCAGTCTTTGATTTTGGTGGGTTTAGTTATCGCAATAAATAAAAATGCCCCTCAAATAATTCCTCACTGCAATGTCATGCAAATCACTGCCCTCATTCACCTTAGTGTTTAAGCAGCTGTGTATCATTCATTGCCAAGGTACTAACAGATGATGACTGCACCGAAAGGGATTTTTTTCTTAAAGAGCTTGAGAAAGAAAAAAAGTTGCTCATAAATTGTTTAGATCCTGAAAAGGAAAGTCGGACATTTTCTGTGGCTGATTACAGTAATTAAATAAAAAAAAATTAGGGGGGGGGTGTAGTGGGGGAAAGAAAGGTCTCACACTGTGAAGAAAACTGTGTGGCTTCCGGAGATTTTATATTCTTCCCGTAAGGGCAGAAAGAGCTTAATCTAAGGAAGATTTTGAATTAGACATGAAATCATATCAAGGCTCCACTTACTGTGGAACTTGGTTAAGTCAATTCGCCCATCTGCACTTTTGTTTATTTATGTGTAAAATTGGGAACAAGATCTACTTCGCAAGACTTCTGTAAGGATCACGTGACATAACGTACACAAAATCGCTTCAGTACATAGTAAGAGCTCATTAAATGCCAGTTGGTGCTACTGTTGCTTCTCAGATTGGGCCATTCGCTCCTCCAAAATTCCAGAAACTTTGTTTTCTACAGTTTAACACCCTCGGCTGCAAAAGGATGAGAAGATGCAACTTTTATACCTGGGGCTCACTTATTTAAACAAAAACCCGCTTCAATCTTTAGATAGGCAAAATACACTTAACTGGTGGCGGGACCCACTTTGAAAGCACCCCCACCCAATTCTCACTCCAGTGGATTGTGGGAGGTGTAGTCCCGCGCTCCAGTGGCTGGAGCACAGAAAAGCTGGTAGGAAACTACAATTCCCAGGAGGTGAAGTAGCGGGACTATTTTCCAGTCGGGCGGTAGCGCCATGGGAGGGAATTGGCAATCTCTCTGCCTACGTGGGACAAAAGGGAGGGTTGGGGGAGGTGTGGAAAACCTGAACCTGAGCCGCTGCCGCCTGAAGAAGATTTGGTGGGAGGAGAAGTAGAGGGGAAAAGACGGGTGGAGGGTGAAGTGAGGAAGGCACCTGGGGCGCTGCTCGCGGCCGGCACAAAGTTCTTGGCGATGTGGCTGAAGCCTGAGGAAGTGCTCCTGAAAAATGCGCTGAAGCTGTGGCTGATGGAAAGGTCCAATGATTACTTCGTGCTGCAACGGCGTCGGGGCTACGGGGAGGAAGGCGGAGGTGGGCTCACAGGTAAGCTGTGTCCACCCCCACCCCTTAGGGCTGTGGTCGCTGGTACTTAAAAGGTGGTGATAACAGCCGTCGCCACCCGCCGCCCGAACCATCCTGAAACCTGGGTGGAGGGACAGGGGTTCTTCTCCCGCCACCACCTTTCCATTGCCCTCTCCGAGTGCTGAGAATGCCTCACTGGACCAGCAGTTGCTCTTTGGGTGGGACAGGGAAAAGGAGATGTTCTTTCTGAGGCCAAGTGCCAACCCTGTCCCTTCCCATGGGGGAGGGGGCTGATAACGAGTGTTAGAACTCGACCGGTCGCATTTAGCCTGGTGACTGGGGCCAGTTCGCAATTGTGGACTTAACTTTTTTCACAAAACCCACTATCGATAATCACCACCCTGAGGAGTGTAGGGGGTGGGCGCTGAGGGGGTGGGAGGATGGTGAGAAATTACCGCAATCACATCCTGAGGGACAGGCTTCAAGAAAGAGATTAGGGAGGTTGGGGGGAGAACGAAGGAGAGGACCCAGAATTTCTGACCTCTTCCAATTTAGCATCTTTTACTTAATCTCCAAGTTTTCAATCCTTGGGATCCCCACTCAAAGTAACTGTCGTAATTTATTTCTGTTTTGAGTGGCGCTGCCCTTTCTGTCAAAGCCATGGTTGTAAGCAAACCAATTAAACAAACAGACGTTTAACTCTTCCCGCTTAATCCAACCTGCCTTCAATTCTTTGATTTACAAATCAATAACTGTGCCTTGGTCAAGTGTTTTGAAGCCATCATATAATTTTATTTTGAGACCACGCGTCTCAGGCAGGGCATTCAAACTTTTAGGCAGTGGGGAGACCAGGTCTCTTATTTGTGACAATTACTAGTTTGGTGATGTGGCCTGGAAGTGCTGGACCAGGCTTAATTTAGGCAGCGTGATGTAGCAAGAAGAGAGAAGAATCCGAAACCCTGCATTTTAGTCCCATTCTCATCTCTTGTTGAATGACATTTGACAAATTATTTCATTTATTCAACCTTAAGTGCCTACTATGTGCCACATGGCATGCTAGGATACAAAGACAATTAAGATTCAGGTCCCTGCCTTGAAGTGCTCATAAGATCTCCTAAGAATGAGAAGGTGGGGTTAGGGGGAAGTAACCAGTAAACCAGGCAAATTATAATTATAACCAGTAACTAGTAACAGGTAAATTATAATTAGAACCAAATAATTGAAGGATTGGATAAAGGTTCATGTAAGAGATTACGTTGCTTTTCCTCATATGTAATATGGTGTCTACCTCATAGAGTTGAGAAGATAAAATGAAAGATATTAAGTGCCAAAGCAATGTATGTTGTTAAGATGTGGTAATAAACATGTGCCGTTATTTCCTTTTTTTCAAGCCATCCCCAAGGTGAAGAAAATTCTGAGGTTCTACAGGACATTTTTTTAAATCTTGCAAGACCGATTCATCTTATCCAGCTTCTAAAAAGGCCCTCTTGAAAATATGGCAGTGAAAAATTGTCTCGTTAAAATTGACATTTTGTCATTTTCTGATTTTTAAAAGTTGCAAGTGCTGTTTTGTAGAGGAATATTTCCATTTAATAGATGCATATATTTTCCAGATTTAAATTTGAGAATCAGTGTTCATAATCACCCAGTGATATAATTTATCCTGTTGAGTCCATTGAGAGCAGGGCAGGATATATTTAAAATAGATCTTACAGCTCCATGTTACAGCATAATATTTTGGTTCCCCATAATTTTACTTGACCAGAGTTTTTCTGGTGCTCTTGCCCATATTTACCCATATTTGCCCACATTAAGAAGTGTATTTCGCCTTGTACAACCCTGTTCCTGGAAAATAATAGGCAAATCAGATTCTTGAGAATCAAATCACTGTGTTGTATTAAATTTTTTTTTAATTTGTTGCACATTTCCTTTAAATAATCACTCCTTGTTTTCTGTGGGGTTTTTTTTCATTTGACATGTTTTCTTAAAGCATGGACCAATTGCACCAGTTTCTTTTCTCTATCCCACCCACTCCCCTGAGATATGCCTGAAGAAATAAATCAAGATTTCTACCACACATATATGTTGAGAATAGCCATAGGCCCAATTTTGTGGTCAGTTTATATCTCTGCATGATTGTTTTACCTGTAGTATTGTCAAGATGCTTGAAATTACCATGTGAGAGCTGCCACTATATTTCATGTAAATTAAACAATGGATAAGAAAGAAGCAAAGATGTTTTTAAAGTTTGGGGTTGTTTGGTTTGTTTTTGTTTTGGTCTAGAGCTAAAGTGTGTGCTGATTTTCATGGCTGTTCAATTACTGCATTCTTACTTAAAATTGTGAATCCAAGAGCTTTGCTCTGCTTTACCACAAATCCACATTTGGATTAGCTCTCACGGAGTTTGACTGTATGCCAACATAATCTTGCCTTTGCCCATTTTGTGTTCTAAAATCTAATATGCTACTTCTTTAAAAGATTCATTTATACATTTTGTTTAATGAAGAAAAGATAATGACCATCTAGAAGTGTTAATAGTTGTACTTTCTGTAAGATTTCACTTTTTTGCCATGTGGTAATTAGCAATAACCACCAGCAATGTAATGACTTTCACTGTAGAGTTGTTGACTCTAGTTTGTAGTTTGTTTTTTGTTTTGTTTTTTCTAATAATGGAATCGGGCAAAAGAGAACCCTGTTATGGTTATAACAGGAGACTAGTTGGGAAGTTAGAATTCACAGGTCCTTTTCTAAATTCTGAAACACGTCTAGTGGCTATCTGGTAGATTACTTACCATTTGCCAAACTTTATCTTACTTAATTGTACTTGTTCACAACAGGGTGGAATATCTTGTGAAAAAATTTGTTATACATAAGATTATTTTACAGATACAGTGATTTCTTTCATTTAGAGAATTTCACCAATCTGGATTTTTGCAGTTACCTTACATTATCCCTTGTTCCCCCGGCCTGATTAACGGTAATGGCTCTTCTGTGCCATCTAAATTTAGCACCAGATTTTACACGATTAAAAATAATTTATGCATATTTGGCTTACTAAGTAAATCAATTTGCTCTGCTTGGCAAATGGGAGCTACTACATGAGTGGAATTATGGGGCTACGTTCTATTAAGTACTCTAGTATATAGGATTTAGGAAGATCTGCTAGTTGGAAACACAGTGTGATTTGCCCTCCTCAGGGGTTACCCTATGAGATTTTCTTTTTAATAGGTTAACTATAAACCACCACACACAAATACGTAAATATTCCACCAAGTCCAGTGATTGCACTTACCCCATCAACCCTGCTTCCTTTATCTTCCCTGATTCTTTAATATCTTTATACCTCTATTCAGTTGTAATTGGTTTTATAGTGGCTTTTTTTCCCTCATCTGTACAATGGAAACAAAACTTATCTTCCCTACCTTACAGCATTATTATGTGAGTCAAGTGAGTTTTGAAACCTGTGAGCAAATATATAAATGTTTGATATTCATTTCTCTATTATAAAAGGAGTAAGATAGTAAGTGCCATTTTCTGTACATGAAAACCAAATGAGGATCTATATTTGTACCATTTTCCCTAGTAATTACTTTTCCCATATTGTATATAGAAATTGATTTGGAGTAGTAACATTGAGTATGTCCAATATGCAACAATATCACTACAAAAGCAAAACACTGATAGTTAATCATTCAAGAATTTTGATATGATAGTGATTGTGCATTTATGTTTATAATCAGAGTAATGCACAAAAACTAGAGTAAAATATCACAGCAGCATTTCTTTTTGATCTATGATTGCCCCAAACCTAGAAATTCTCAAACATAGCTTCTATAGATATAAGTATCATTTGTTGTCTTAATGAGTGGTATTGAAGAGTATGTAAAGCTTTAGTTATCTTAGTTATATTTTTCAAAACATAATACTTAAAGAAGAAATAATGATTCCACTGTTGAAAATATATGCTTCTGGTGGACAGTTGTGGAAGGACTATGGATGTAAGGTAAGCTAAAAATTAAAATAAAATATAGGACACTATAATGTTTGCCATGCTGTTACATGAGTACATCTATGACATGGATTTTATATTACCATTATGTTAGAAAATGTACCCAGTTTTCAACTTTTTGCTGCTGCTATGGAAGCACAAAAGGAAATGTGATGGTACAAGATATGTTGATTCAACAGATAATTACAAATGCCTTCTAAAACCAAACACTGTTTTAGGAGCTGGAGGTAACAGCAGTGAGCAAAACAAAATCCGTGTTCTCATAGGGCTAATGTTTTAGTTGAGGGATATAAATAAACAAATAATATATTATATGGCTGGTGGTAATGAGTGATTTCAAGAGAAAAAAAAGTAAGGTATAATGATAGAGAGGGGAGGGGGTTGGAATTTTAGATGAATTTGGAAAGGGAAGTTCTCTTTAAGGTGACCTATGAGCAGAGACTAGAGGGACAAGCAGATATTTGGGGTCAGAGTGAATATACATAATAATTTCTAGGACTTTTACTGTGAAGAGAAGCATAGAAATGGGGGTGGTAGCTGGCTACTGTGCTGGATGTTTGGTATACAGTGGTAATGAAAGAGAAGTAGTCTTACCCTCACAGAGTTTATAATCTGGTGGGACAGACAGATAATAAGTAAGCAAACAAATCTGTAGTTACTGTGGTCAAAAAATAATATCAGTCTAGTTTTTTTTTTGTTTTTTTTTGTTGAGCCATCCTGCCACCTGTTGGCAGCTCAGCTCGGTCTGGGACTCGAACCGCTGTTGCTCAGAGCTCAAACTCTTGAGCGAGCTCTTAACCAACTGAGCCACTCGGCCAGCCCTATATCAGTCTGGTTTTAATGGCTTCTAAGTAGTTATGAATAAGGGGCATTTCAAACCCCCAAAGCGATTTTCCAAGGCCATCTCTGGTGTTATGCTTATCAGATGTCCTGTTAAATGATACAAAGATTTCCTAGAAGCAGTGATTAATAACAATAGGTGGTATTCTGCTGGCAGAATTCCTGTGTGACA